GTTCTTTTTATATTCTGGATACTATATTCTTATCAGACATATAATTTACAAATATTTTCTTGTATTCTGTGGAGTGTCTTTTTACTTTGTTGAAAGTGTCCTGTGAAGCACAGAAGTATTTTGTTTTGATGAATTCTATTGTATCTATCTTTTCCTTTGCTGCTTGTGCTTTTCATATCATATCTAAGAAACCATTGACTAAACTAAGGCCAATATTTACACCTGTGTTTTCTTGTAAAAGTTTTATGGCTTTAGATCTTATATTTCAGTCCTTGATCTATTTTGAGTTAATTTGTATAGATAATGTGAGGCTGGGGTTCAATTTCATTTTTTGCATGCTCAATATCCAGTTGTCCCAACACCATTTGTTGAAAAGATTATTCCTTCTCCATTGAATTGTCTTAGCATCTTGCAGAAAATCAGTTGACTACAAATGTAAGGATTTATTTCTGGAGACTCAGTCCTATTCCATTGATCTGTAAGTCTGTCTTTATGCTGGTAAAACACTGTGTTGACCACTATGGCTTTGCAGTAAGTTTTGAAATCAAGTATGAGTCCTCAACTCTTTATTTTTTGTTTTTTGGAAGGAGCTATTCTAGGCCTCTTGTACTTCCATATGAATTTTAGGATTAGGGTATCAATTTCTGGAAGAAAAAAAAGAGATGGGATTTTCACAGAGATTTTATTGAATCTGTAGTTTAGTTTGGGGAATATTGCTGTCTTAACATATAAAGTCTCTGATCAATTAATACAGGATGTTTTCCTATTTATTTAGGCCTTTCTTAATATCTTTCAACAAAGATTTATGGTTTTGAGTGTACATGCTATTGTAAGTGGAATTCTCTTCTTAATTTCATTATTGAATTGTTCATTGTGCATAGGAATACAATTGATTTTTAAATACTGATCTTGTATCTTGAAACCTCACTAAACTTGTTGATCTAATGGTTATTTTTGTGGATTCTTTTTTTAAAATTTATACATCATGTTTATTCTATTACAGTTGTCTCAATTTTTCCCCCTTTACCTCCCTCTACCCATCCCACCCCCACCCCCGCTCCCACAGTCAATTCCCACTCTGGTGTCCATGTCTATGGGTCATTCATACATGTTCTTTGTCTAGTCCCTTCCTCCTCTTTCCACCATTGTCCTCTTTCCCATCCCCTCTAGTCACTTTCAGTCTGCTCCATGTTTCCATGCCTATGGTTTATTTTGTTCCTTAGTTGAATAGAGTCCACTTATAGGTGAGATCATATGGTATTTGTCTTTCATCAGCTGGCTTATTTCACTTAGCTTAATGTTCTCCAGTTCCATCCATGTTGTTGCAAAAGGTAGGAGATCCGTCTCTCTCTCTTTCTTTTTCTCTTTCTTTCTTAAATGCAGATTGATTTTATTTATTTTTTTCAATGTCAAAGTTAATTATAAAATATTAAAAAATTTAAAACCATTATAAAGTCTTGGCAATTAAACCAACATGACACCAGCACAGAAATAATCAAGTATTTCAATGAAATATTATGAGCATTCTAGAGACAAATGTATATATCTGTCTAACAATGTAATATATGATTAAGTTGATATTTCAAATCAGTGGGGAAAATAAGGTTTATTCAACAAATAAGGTGCATGGACCACTATTACTTGAAATAAAACAAATATAGAGCCCTATTTCATAGATTATATAAGAAATATTCAGGTGAGTTAAAAATCAATATGTAGAATCTAGGGAGTTTTAGGAGAAAATACACAATAATATTTTTATTACCCTGAAGTGCAATATTCAAACCCAGAAATCTTTGTCTTGTTTCTGATTTTAGGGAGAAAGTTTTAGTCTTTTATCATTAAGTATGGCATTAGCTATGGGTTTAAAAAAAAAGAAAAATAAAAATAACCTTCATCAGGTTGAATAAGTTCTCTGCTATTCCTAGTTTGTTAAGTTTGGATTTTATCCTATGTACAGTGGAAGAACTAAAGAATTCTAGGCAGATGACTGGCATATTTTCGAAAGAGCACTCTGATGGCAACTTTTTGAGGGAATTAAAGAGAGTAATATCTGATTTAAGCAGTATATGTTGGAGCTGTTCAGGGCCTGAACTACTATAGTGGTAGCATTAACCAAACGGGAAAGAGAATTCTGCACCTTTCTGTCCACAACCTTCAATAATTCCCCAGTTGTTGTTGTTTTTTCCACCTAAAGAATACATTCCTTCACCAGGTTTTAGAGACCTAATACCATGAAACCCCAGATTATCTTTCCAGTCTCACTTTCCATCATTTTTCTATTCTTCTATCACACTGGGCTAGTTATCCTTCCTAAGATTTATTCTGCCTTTTCTTAACTTTGTGCCATTATTTAAGCTATTCTGTCTATTTCCTATCTCTGTATGGTCATGTCTTACCCACCCACAAATCCCACATTTCCTGCCCCTACCACCACCAGATTCCTCTGATTCCTTCAGTTTTACTAGAGAAGAAAAAGCCTGAATTCTAGAACACAAAGGCATGGGTTTGAACAGTGGCTCTGCCCTTTACTTATTTGCTTACCTAGCTTTGTTTACTATCCTCACTAAGCATGTTTCCTAGTCTAAAATGCAGAGAATATCTATCTTATAAGAGCTCAATAAGTACTAAATGATAAATGCAAGTTAAAGGGTTCAAAAAACTACAAAGCAATATGTAAATGATAGCTACAACAATAAATCACAAAATATAATTTTTATTTGTTTCTTCCAGTTACTAGGATATCCTGCCTTATATTATTTTTATTTGTGTATGTTGTATCATCCCAAGTAAACAATGATCTCAAGAAGAATCATGTCTTAATCATTCTGTATCTTCCAAAGTACACTGAACACAACCTTATATAGGTAAGTGATTGATAAGGATATATTGAATGAGTAAATAAACTGATGGTAAGAGACATAGTGAACATTTAGGGTTTTTTTTTTTGGTTTTCCAACATCTGAAACCTCTTCCTCTGTGTGAATCTTAATGGGAGACAGGGTCCCACATCCCCCAAGAGAAGTCAGAGATTGTACCTAAAGTTCTCCCTCGCAGCAAAGGCAACATGATATAGGCTTGGTCATTTGTGCTCCCATCAGGACTTTGAATCTTGAACAAAGAGTGTAAAGACAATGGGACACAGTAAAAGTCATTTCAGATGGCAGCCTACAATGGTGAGGGAGGTAGTGGTTCCAGCTGTAGTGTCCTTACCTCGACCGCTCCTGTGTTGTGACTTTGGTGGTGAACCCTGGTTCTATTTTCTGAGTTCTTATTAGCTGGCCTTCCCATAAACTCCAAGGATTACTCGATAACCTTCAAATATATTCATTTCCTCCTTCATTTGGCAGAGCTGGTTCCTGTCGTTTGCAACTGAGAACCTTGGCATAACTTCGGGGTAAGGGTTTAAGGTGAAGGACAAAGCAGAAGTCTTTCACTTTTCTCCTCATAAACTTCTGTATTGCTACTGTTGTGGTATTACTTCTGTCATATAAAAATATGCTTTTAAACTTGATCATCTAAAGCAGAGTTGGGCAAAAAGAAGTGGTAAGAAATAAAATTTGGAAATTAGGATGGAGCCAGATTGTACAAATCCTTAAATGTGTGAATCCTTTAAAGATTCTGAATTTAGCTCAGTAAGTATGGGAAATTTATAAAACAGAACAATGATATGATCAAATCTATGTGTTTTAGAGTTGTTATGTAGAGGATGATACAGAACTCGGAGAAATTAAAGACCAGGAGAACAGTTAGGAGGAGGCTATCACCATGGTCCAGACAGAAGATTGAGAGAATTCCTCAATTTGGTGACAGAGTGAGGATGTCAGTCACAGGTTAGTTTTTTGGGGGGAAGCAGAACTGAATAGAGGGAAAAGTCAAACTGCAATGTAGATCCTCCATAGACCCAGCCAACCAACCTGGCAGGGAGCTCTGGAGTGAATACTGCTCATCAGAATTGTCCTGCAGTAGGCCAGAAAGGCTGAACCTTTTTATACCCCTGCTTTATTCAGTTGTCAGATGAGGATGGCCCCAGGGTGAGCATGACCTTGTGTAGGACTGTTCTCTGCAGGTGAGGCAGACACTGAAGGAACTGAAGCAGCAAGAGGCTGTCTGCTGGCTTTACTCCCTGGAGCTGAACAGCAAGTCTCTCCTTGAAGGTAGAAATGGGTGGCACACCTCCATGCCTACCACAAAGAAATAGATGAATTATGGTATCAGGAACAAAAGCAATGGAGTAGAAAGGAGGGAATAGAAGAGTCTACAGATACTGTATTTTGTAGATGGGGGATGAAGAGGGAGCAAATAAAGGTTAACACTGAGGTCTTTACATTGATATGGTTTGATGGTAATTCTGTTTAACTGATAATAAACAACAGAAGAGAAACGACAGGTTTGGGGAGAAAGATATGGCATTTATTTTGAACACGTTGACTCTAAAATGTCTGCAAAATATTAAAGTAGAAATGATTTTCAAGAATCAATGCATATGGGGTGTCTGGAGGTCAACAGCAAATGCTAGATAGGGTGGGGCAAAAGTAGGTTTATAATAGTCATTCATATGGAAAATAATACAATAATTAATAAATAATAATACAAGAATAAACTCTATTTCACGTACTCACAACTATAAACCTACTTTTGCTCTACTCTGTATTTATTGAGTATACATACATTATATATATATTTTTATTTAATATGCACAATGCCTCTATGGGGTATTGTGCCCTTTTTGTATATTTTATCACACCTTTTGTTTATAAAGAAGCTGAGACTTGAAGAAGTTAAATTGCCTGGTTCAAAGAAATAACACTCAAGTCTGTTTCATGACAAAACACATACTGTCAAAGACAAGATTATATTGCCTCCTCATAGAAATCACCACAGATAGATGGTATTTGAAGTCATGGAAGTTGGTAGGTCACCCAGAAAGGTACAGTTTAAAGGAGAACAAAAGGAGCCCCCAAATGGAATTTTAAGGAAGCTAAAACTTCCGATGGTGAATAGAGTAAGACGATACAGCAAAGGGATTGAGCCGTTTCAAAATATTAGAAGTATAGTATCTCAGAAAGTTGGGGTAATAAATAAAGTGAAACGTGCGGATAGCATGGAGGATGAAGTTTGCACAATTAGAGGTCATTAATGATATTAGAGCAGTTTATAGAGATCGGGGACTGCAGTGGTTGAAGGGTGCTTGGAGATAAGGAAGTAGAAGCAAAAAGTAGAGGCTACTTTTCTAGAAGTTTTGCAAAGTAGAGGAAATAATAATGCTTTATACATAAGTAAGGAATTTATTAATGTCATTAATTGATCGATTAACTAATAACTCCTTTCTCCCATATTACTTATAGTTTTCACTTCTACCATTTCTCTGGTTCTTTCTTTTTACCTCCTTCCTACCATTGTCCCAGCCTATGTCTGACACACCTGGAAGCATTGAATGTTATTTATTTTGTTGGTAGATGGCTTGTTTTATTTGGTGATTCTGTCTGTCTTTGGAGGCTGGGCCACAGGCCCCTCCACCACTACCACAATTCCATCATCTGTTTTTCACAAAGACAAAGAAGCATTCACGTCTCAGGCCAATTCAGTACTTAATAAACCAAGTTCTCTGTCCCCCAGGCTTCTCCCTTTCCCCCCCGCCAAACTCTGGGTGGGCAGATCTGGGAGAAGAAAGCTGCCACTCCAAACCTTGTGGGAAACAATATCCCAGATGGGGAATGTGTTTGGGTTCTCAGTGAGCTGAGATCTTCTTCCATCAGTCCAGCTCTTTTCCAGAGGGGACTGGAAAGTAATTAATTCCGTCGTCCACCTGTGCACAGGAAGATGCCTACAGCCACACCAGTGATGATGAAACTGCCCACCAGGATACCCAGGACCATCGAAGTGTAGGAGCGGCCTCTTTGGCTCTCTGGAAAAAACATGCAGAGAGTTAGTGTGAAGAACATAGACCCAAGGAATCCATGGTTTGAGTCAAAACCCAAGGGATTTCTACCTCCAAAGGAAAGGGGCTAATTTACCAAGTGACTTAAGCTGTGTATACTCAGTCCCAAACCTTCAGCCTTGGGCCTCCTGTTTCTCGAGGTATCCAGGTCCACCCACTTGCCTGGAACCCACCCAACACACAGGCCCATCGCCAATGCCATCATACCTTTCAGCTTTCTCACGTCGTGTTCCCTCACGTACTGCACACAGGTGTCCTGCAGGAAATCCCGCAGGTCGTAACGAGTCCGATTGTAGGTGTTGAGCTTCAGCAGGGTATAGGCGACCACTGCGGAGTGGGTCTGGGGCCCTGTCGCCCATGTGGCCTCCATGGGCTTGAAACTCACAAAAGAGCTCCCGTTCACAGCCACGTCAAAGAAGACTTGGGCTCTAGAACCTTCTTCAGGAGGCAGCTCACAGCCCAGGAAGCAGCGAACGGTCAGAGGAACTGTGGATGGGGGATGCAGGGTCAAGGGGCTGTGTGGAGAGGGTGCCAGGTGTGGGGGATGTCCATCAGGAGGAAGTGAACTTTTGGGGTTCAGGGTCCCCGAGACTATGGGAACCTGACGAGGGCCTGATGGAAGGCCTGTAGCCTAGGACACCCACTCCTCTCCAGCCTCCAGCTCCTACTCAGCAATAAGCAAATGCTGGGGCCTGGGACCGCGGGGCTCCTGAGAGCCGCCAGCCCACACAAGACCATGGCCATGGTGCCAGGCCCATCCACAAGACCCCCTACAGGCTCCCTTCCACCCAGGCCCCGCCCCCGTGCACGGCCACTCACAGGCCACGCTCCGCTCCTTGTGTACCAGCTCCACCAGGGCCTGGAACTGTTCCAGGTAGAGCCGCACTCTACTCTCTGTGAGTGCCCAGCTCTTGGGCTCCTCCAAGGGAAGCAGCTGGAGGATCGTGATGTTTGAGTTCTGGCCTTTCAGTTCATGTGTCAACAGCCCTCCCAGCGACGCGTTGCCTTCGTGTGACACTTGATGGGGGTCTGAGAAGTAGGAGATCTGGAGCATGTGGAGACTCTGAGGGCCTGGGGGCGGAAGTGAGCGCGTTGGTCCCTGGCTAGCCTGGGATGGGCTGGCGTGGGACGGGCCAGCATGCAGCCGAAGATAATAAGCCCCTGTAAGCCCCGACCCAGAGGCCCGCCGCCCACCTTCTTGGCCCTTCATAAAGTGTCCTCCCACCCTCCCTCCCACATAATGCTCACAGTAACCCTGCCAGGAGGGTAGGACAGGGATTATTATCTTCATTTTACAAATGAGGAAACAGGCCAGGAGGGAAGTCACTTGCTCCAGGGTAATCCAGACAGTCAGTGGAAGAGCCACTCTGATCTCCTTTCTCCCTCTCAGCCCTTCCTGCCTCCATTTCCAGTTGGTCAACAATTCCTGACCTACAGTAAAAATCCCAATTCTGACTCCTCTGCCACTGCCCTACTTCGGGCCTCATTGGTTCTCATCTGGGCTGGGGCAGTACCTTCTTTCCTCACGCCCCTGCCTTTATTTTTCAGTTTCACCTCTTTTAATTGGACCTCCATCTCACCCAGGAATAAGATTGTGTTCTTCTGCTTAAAATCCTCCAGCGACACACTCCCCTATCAATAATTAATCATTATAATTTTATTATTATTACTATTGGGCTTATGACCTGGGCACTGTACTTTACACACATTATTATGTTATTTGTGCCTTCCTTCCATTAAGTTAATGCAGTATCTACTATTATTAACCCCGGTCCCTAAGGGAAACAGGCTAAAATGGTATGGTAGAGCCAAGGTTTGAATGCAAGCAGTTGGAGTCTAGCACTTTTAGCTACCCAATTATACTGAGTCCCCATAAGGTATCTGTTCACAGAATCAAGAACAAAGTCTTTAGCACAGCATTCAAGGCTGCTGGGGACGAGGCCCCTGCTGCCTTCTTCAGCTTCTTCCCGGTACTTACATATATCAAATTCCTTGGAGTTCCTCATGCTGCCTTTTGACTGACTAAACAGCATATCAGGGTTGCTCTACCTCCTGGCAAACTTCTATTTATGCTTCACGATCCAGCTTGGTTGTTTTCTCCTTGGAGAAGTTTTCCTGATGCCTCTCCTCTTTACCCTCCCAGACACTGTGGACCTGTTGCGGTGATCCCAGTTTCCATGTAACTGTCTGCAAATACACAGGCTACCCTGGGCCCCTCTACACTAGAATCACGTCTGGTTATCTCTGCCTCCTACACCTAGTAATGGCCTGTGTTAATACCTAGCAATGGTGCCCAGAGAACGTGTGAGGAGGGTATGAGTCTAGGGTTGCAAATCTGTGCGTGTGAGTGTGTCATGACCACGTTTGCATTTGAGAACTGCAGTGTGCCTGCAGGTGTGAATAAGAACATCTGTGTGGGTAACCCTAGACAGGTTCTTAACTGCTGTGTGCCTCAGTTTCCTCCTCTGTGAAATGGAGATAATAATATTACATACCTTGTAGAGATTTTGTGGGGGTTAAATGAATCGATACATGCAGTAACTGTAGTGTGCACTCACCGAATACTGGTCATTATTCACTCCTTCTCAGAGGGGGAGACTGAAGCTATAGAGATTATGGGAGAAGGGAAAGGAGGCCACTGCACAATTACAATGAAGGGCAATCACACCCTTTCTGTGCTTAAATGGAGCCCATTCGGGCAGCCTGATCTCCATGACTTCTCCCACTGACCACAGCTTCTCCTTCCCCAAGCTTCACCTCACCCACTGTCCCCAGTCTTCCTCCACCTTCTCTAGTCTCCTTTTCTGCCTCACATATCTCAGCCCTGGTCTTTTCCCAAGTCTTTCCTCAGTTCTACATGTCTTCCCATTCCTTCCATCTCTTACCTCATCTCTGGGTATCTTACCTTCTTCTCTAGACTCACCCCCATCCACCATCACACCCTCAGCTTTCCCTCTCAACTTCACCTTGCCTCTTCCTTCTCCCTGAGGCTAATTCTCTCACCCCTTGTACCTGTCCCTGTCCCATCTTTCCAATCCAGTTCTCCACCGCTGCTCCCCAACTCCTGCCTCTTCCACCTCTCCCTTCCCCTGCGCTGAACTGTGCTTCCTCACATGGCTTTAGGTCACAAACCCCGTCGCTGGGACCATGCCTGCCCTATAGAGAGATCCAGTCAGCTACAGACACACACACACACACACACACACACACACACACACACAACCCGCCCCGCCCCCTGCCCAGTGGGATAAGCTCTCCTCTGGTATTGCCCCCATATCCAGACATGCTGAAGTCTCCAGAACCTTCCCGGGGTAGGAGATGTGTCCCCAACTCACCATCTGAGGCTTCCAGGCTGCAAAGGGCCCTGTCCGGCAGTAGCAGTAGAAGCAACAGTGGCAGCAATGTTGTCAACATCCTGGGGTTGAGGTTCTTGGCCCCTCCTGGGCTCTGAGTTCTGGCAGGCTGGGGGCTCCCACTGACTGCGGCCTCGGGAGACAAGAAGCGAGGACAACCTGGGAGGGGAGGAGGCTGAGCAGAGGAGGCTGGACGATGGCCAGGGGGTGGCTGAAGGAAGAGGGCGTCAGGCTTATAAAGTGTTATTCCTACACTGTCTCATTTCCTACTACGGGCCGGCCTCCCTCTTGCCCGCCCCCCGCCCCGCCCTGCAGCGCACCCTCCTGCCTAGACCTGCCTTTTCCCTGAGCCGTGTCTGAGGAATAGGGAGCGGCGGAAAAGGGGGAGCAGGGGCTTCAAGAGAAGTCCTGCCCTCGATGAGTCAGGGGGTGGGGCATCTCTTTTCAACTTAGAGTCTAGGGTGTAGGGTCTAGCAGGTTACTAAGGGAAGACCAAGGCCCAGAGAGGTTCAGGGACTTGACCAAAGCTTATGCCTCATAGTGGTCACAGTTCAGGGATTAGAATTGTTTTCCTGCACACTGGCTACATTTTATAAGAATTTGAAGGAAATAGTAATTACACAATCAGGGAATTTTGTTTCTCAGGAAGAATCACAAAATGAGTATAGAGCATCTCACTGCAGCATCATTTATTTGAAATGTGAGAGAATTATGACCAATCTAAATCTCAGTAGAGGACTGGTTGCTTAAAGCAGTAGTTCTTACACTCAGGTCACAATCGTATTAGTGGACAATGAAAACAATTAAAATGAAATAGAACAGAAAAAAATTTTCAGTGTATCGCCATTGGTAAAGTTAAGCATTATTTCATGAAATATTTGTTTGTTTGTATATGTGTGTTTTCATTTTGTGCATGTATGCGTCTGTGATGGGTTTGGATAGCATGTAAAATGTATTTCTTACTACAGGAAGCAAGTAGAAACATTAGAAAGTTACTCTCCCCAAGTATGATAATTTATACTATGTAATACTATGCAGTAGTTAAAACAAAACCTCCCCATCCAATCCCCACTCTATTTTCATCATATTACTTAGCACAGCCTGAAATTATGTCACTTATTTATTTGCATGTTTATTGTCTGAGTGTCCTACCAAAATGTAAATTCCATGAGGATAGAGGCTGTCCATCTTGTTTATTATTGTGCCTAGGATAGTGCATACAGTAGGTAACATTATAATAAATAGCAGTTGATGGATGACTGAGTGAGATAGTTATGACATGCACAAATCTCCAAGAGTAAGTTGCAGGACATCATGTTCAGTTTAGAAATCTACGTGTCAACCACGCACACAAAAACTAAACCGGTCGATTCCTTATGGGAGTAAATGAATCTGGAAGGATGTACAGCAGATACAGCAGTGGCTCACCTCCTGGGGAGGGGGCTGAGACTAAGAATGCGAGAGTGTGTGTGCATGCGCGCATGTGTTAGAGGTGGCAACCTCATAAAAGGCTTTTGCGCTCTCTTTTGTAAGAGGTGTTATCATTCTCTCTGTATTTGAAAATTCTGCATTTAGAATGCAATCAAATATCTCTTGTAGAATTAAAAATAAAAGTTTAAGTAAAATAATGGCAGAAGAGAGTAGCAAGATCATTATGAGCTAATGTATTGATATGAGACATTGATAAGTAAATGAAGGAAGTGTGGAATAATACATATCGTATGATTCCATCTCTAATTTAAAATATTTCCCCCTGTCCAAGTAATAATTCCATTTTCATATTTTAAAAATAACATTCTGTGTGTATCTTTGTATTTGTATATACATGGGAAAAATGCCTGGTAAGTTACTGTCAATAGAAATTACCTCTGGGGAATGGGGGTTAGAGAAAGGGCTTGAGGGGACTTTTAACTTTTATTTTATACACTGTTTCTTGAAGGGAGAGTTGATATCAAAGTGGAATCAGGGCAAACCCTGGACACATATCAGGCTCCCATTCTCTGATCTGAATAATGTAAGAGTGTAAACGCTTACCTCTTAGTTTTTGCAAACAAGTTTAGAAATAACATCAAAGTCTTTTTCCAGCTCACCGAAATGGTCTACTTAGAAGAAGGGGGGCCTTGTTTTCCTGAACTGGGACTCAAGAAAAGTGGGAGGACTTAAATCACTACCAATTATTGTTGTGTGTTTTAAAAAATATTATGAAATATTTTATATTTGAAGAATTATTTCACACTTAAAGAATTGTATTACAAACATACATGTTCCCAGCACTCAGCATAAGAAATAAAGTATCACAATATAATTGAAGCCCCCAGTGTACTCCTCTCCAATTGCATCTCTCCTCTTTCCCACCAAAGAAAACACCAATCATAATTTACTGTTTTTTATCTCCTTACATTTCTATATACTAATACCACATATACATATCTCTCTAAGCAATATATAGTATTTTTGCAAATTTGGAGCTTTCTATACATGGTACCAAAGTGCACATATTCCTATGTAACTTGCTTTTTTCACCTGACATATTAATAAAATTCATCCATGTTGTTATATGTAGATCCATTAATCCCCACTCCTTTATAATATGCCATTTTATAAATATGCCACAATTTATCTATTCTCCTGTTGTTAGTCATTAAAGTTTTTTTTCCCCCCCAGTTTTTCGCTTTTACAAAAAGTGCTGGTATGAGCATTCTTGTACATGTCTTGGGCATTTGTGGCAGGATCTTTGTAGCTACAAACCTGGGATGGAATAGTTGAGTCATGGGGTGCCTGCATCTTTAATTTTACTAGATACCGCCAAATCGTTTTACAAAAAGTTTGGGCCAATTATATTCCCACCATTGCATGAGTATCCCCTTGTTCCAAATCCTTGTCAACTCTTGGCATTGTCAAATGGTTGGGTGTAAAATGGCACTTCATTTTGGCTTTACTTTGTTTTATCTGATTCTTAGTGAGTCTGTGCATCTTTTTGCTTTGCCTTTTTTCTCCTTTGAGTTGCTTGAAGGGTACTTTGGTACAGAGGGTGACAAAGAACCAATTTGGAATTGAGTGCTGTGAGTCTTCGATCTATGAAGGTAAGGCCTGGGTCGCTGGGGTTAGAGAGCGACCCCAGCACCATCCACAGAGCTACTTGCAGAGGGGCCTTTCCCACCAGCTAAGGTCTGTCACGGACAGAGGTGGTAACAGCAACCTAGCTCATTGCAAGTTCTCAATAGAGTTATTGTTATTCCACATCCTAAGGGGAGGGTGTGCTCTGAGGGGACTATACTTGATTGTTACTGAGTTGCTATCCCAAGCGCCCTCCTCACACCCCAGAGCCTTGAAAACCAAATAACAAAGACAATAGTTGTTATTATAGCTCACGTTTATCATAGACCAGGGCAGCGTTAAGCTCTTTACATAAACAATCTTACTTTATCCATTTGCCAGCCCTGTGAGGTGGGTTTCATTAACATTCTAATTTTACTAATAAGCACACTGAGGCTCTGAGAGGGTAACTTACCTAAGGTCACACAGCGAGAGCTATAATTTGAATCCATGTGTGTCTGATGCCGAAGTTTATAATTTTAATCACCACGTAGTATCTAAACAATTTTGGGAGAATTACAACCCATTAATATATGTTTGAATAAACACATTTGACATGCTTGAATATTTATGTTATGTGTGTTGTAAAACATGCCCAAAATTTGTGCATTTCCTCTGGGGGAGATAGCAGGAGGCTCATTTTCTCCATGTTACAAATGAGATCATTAGGGTCCAGAAAGTTTCAGTAATTTGCCCAAGGGAAGTGCAGAACAGGAATTTTAACTCAAAGAAGCCAGGTATCTCTGTTGATTATAAAGTTGACCCAATTCCCCAAGGTTGTATGTTTGATCTCCAGTCAGGACATATACAAGAATCAACCAATGAGTGCATAATAAGTGGAACAACAAATTGATATATTATAATAAATAAGTAATAAATAATTAATGGGATTACAGGGAGAGTGAAGAGAGTATTGGGGGTAAGAAAGTTGGTGAGGGGGGCACCTTAAAGGGTGCTCCCTTCCTCCTTCTACACCCAGGGTTGGGGGTCGGTCAGAGAAGAGAAATACTGCAGTTGGAGCTAGAACCTATGCTGTATCTTGGCTGGGTGGCCGAGGGGCAGATAACCACAAAGCCGAGTGGGCACAGGGCCAGCAGCTGAGATTTGACCGAGAGCTAAAGAATGAGGGTCTGACAGAGCAAAAGGAAGTGAAGGAAGCAAGTGGTGACATTTCCCACTCCAGAGAGCATATGCCGGGGGAAGATAAGGGAGACAGGAAGCTGAGCGGGGCCTGGGCTGTGCAGCACCAGTGAGTGAATAGAGGCCTGTCAGGAGCTGGCCTGAGCCAGGGACTGTCAGTGAGCCCAGCCAGAGGACTAGCTGTCCCTCTCCCCTCCTAGCTACTGAGGACACACAGTTTAACCCAGCAGGTCCAACTCAGATAACTGCAAAGTGCGGTCCCTTCATAGATCCCCTTCCCTTTAGGATGTGGAATAACAATAACTCATATTGAGAACCTGCAATGTGCAAGGCACTGTATTAAGTAAGCAGAGTACATGTGTTTTATTCTCACTAGGGCCCTATGGAAAGTATGAAAAAATAGCCATTATTCCCATGTACAGATGAGGACACAGAGGCACAGAACAGTGAACTGACCTGCTCAAAGACACTCAACTAGTAAAAGACAGAGCTGCCCTCAAACCCTAGTGGATTGGACTCCAAAATATGACTTCTTAACTCATGGACCACCCTGTGAGGGTAAATGAGATGACTCATACAAAGTGTCAGAACACAGTATGTATTTGGTGTGTCGGAGACACAAGAAAGGAGCTTGGCTCTGGGGCAGCAAACAGAACTAACCCTGCAGCAGGAAGAATGGAGGATAGACACTAAGAATGACTTCCTGAGGGGGAGGCAAAGGAATAGATACAGATCTCACTCAAAATTTTCCACTATAGACACTAATACAATCCAATTTAGAAAAGGTGACAAGAAGCCTCATAAAGTCATTGTCATTCCACCTCTTGCCCACCCAGCAAATGGTGGGAGCCTGCAGTTCCTGGCTTTGTTGCTCCCTGTTTTTCCAGCCTTAACTCTCCATGTATTCCACTCTCAGCCGAATCTGTTCTTTCTGGTTTCCTGAACACAGAGCACACTGATGTTATCTTTTTACTTTATTTATCTTGTGTTTAAGCACACAAAAGTTCCCAATTT